ATGCTAACTATTCTAGCTAACTAACTGGCTGAATAAGTTGACGACGGACTCGCACAAGCTGTCGGGACTAACCCACAACGTTAGACACGGACACGAATGATCTGCTTTTCACAGAAGAATACTGTACGTTGATAAGTTCCTTTCCTGAGGATGGCTCACCCCTCACAGTTGGGTGACTTTAACCTCCCTACGTCTACCTTTGACTCATTTCTCTCTGCCTCCTTCTTTCCACTCCTCTCCTCTTTTGACCTCACCCTCTCACGTCCCCCCCTACTCACAAGGCTGGCAATACGCTTGACCTCATCTTTACTAGATGCTGTTCTTCTACTAATCTCACTGCAACTCCCCTCCATGTCTCCGACCACTACTTTGTATCCTTTTCTCTCTCGCTCTCCTCCAACACTACTCACTCTGCCCCTACTCAGATGGTAATGTGCCGTCGCAACCTTCGCTCTCTCTCTCCCGCTACTCTCTCCTCTTCCATCCTATCATCTCTTCCCTCTGCTCAATCCTTCTCCCTCCAATCTCCTGATTCTGCCTCCTCAACCCTCCTCTCCTCCCTTTCTGCATCCTTTGACTCTCTATGTCCCCTATCCTCCCGGCCGGCTCGGTCCTCCCCTCCTGCTCCGTGGCTTGACGACACATTGCGAGCTCACAGAACAGGACTCCGGGCAGCCGAGCGGAAATGGAGGAAAACTAGACTCCCTGCGGACCTGGCATCTTTTCACTCCCTCCTCTCTACATTTTCTTCCTCTGTTTCTGCTGCTAAAGCCACTTTCTACCACATTCTAACCCTAGGAAGCTCTTTGCCCCCAAATGACACTGCTGGTCCTGCTCACACTGCCCTACCCTATGCTTTAACTTCTTTCTCCCCTCTCTCTCCAGATGAAATCTTGCGACTTGTGACGGCCGGCCGCCCAACAACCTGCCCGCTTGACCCTATCCCCTCCTCTCTTCTCCAGACCATCTCCGGTGACCTTCTCCCTTACCTCACCTCGCTCATCAACTCATCCTTGACCGCTGGCTATGTCCCTTCCGTCTTCAAGAGAGCGAGAGTTACAACCCTTCTCAAAAAACCTACACTCGATCCCTCCGATGTCAACAACTACAGACCAGTATCCCTTCTTTCTTTTCTCTCCAAAACTCTTGAGCGTGCCGTCTTTAGCCAACTCTCTTGCTATCTCTCTCAGAATGACCTTCTTGATCCAAACCAGTCAGGTTTCAAGACTGGTCATTCAACTGAGACTGCTCTTCTCTGTGTCACGGAGGCTCTCCACACTGCTAAAGCTAACTCTCTCTCCTCTGCTCTTGTCCTTCTAGACCTGTCTGCTGCCTTTGATACTGTGAACCATCAGATCCTCCTCTCCGAGTTGGGCATCTCCGGCGCGGCTCACTCTTGGATTGCGTCCTACCTGACCGGTCGCTCCTACCAAGTGGCGTGGCAAGAATCTGTCTCCGCACCACGTGCTCTCACCACTGGTGTCCCCCAGGGCTCAGTTCTAGGCCCTCTCCTATTCTCGCTATACACCAAGTCACTTGGCTCTGTCATATCCTCACATGGCCTCTCCTATCATTGCTACGCAGACGACACACAACTAATCTTCTCCTTTCCTCCTTCTGATAACCAGGTGGCGAATCGCATCTCTGCATGTCTGGCAGACATGCAGAGTGGATCAGTGTGGATGACGGATCACCACCTCAAGCTGAACCTCGGCAAGACGGAGCTGCTCTTCCTCCCGGGGAAGGACTGCCCATTCCATGATCTCGCCATCACGGTTGACAACTCTGTTGTGTCCTCCTCCCAGAGTGCGAAGAGCCTTGGCGTGACCCTGGACAACACCCTGTCGTTCTCCGCTAACATCAAGGCGGTGACCCAATCCTGTAGGTTCATGCTCTACAACATTCTGAGAGTATGACCCTGCCTTACACAGGAAGTGGCACAGGTCCTAATCCAGGCACTTGTCATCTCCCGTCTGGATTACTGCAACTCGCTGTTAGCTGGGCTCCCTGCCTGTGCCATTAAACCCCTACAACTCATCCAGAATGCCGCAGCCCGTCTGGTGTTCAACCTTCCCAAGTTCTCTCACGTCACCCCGCTCCTCCACACACTCCACTGGCTTCCAGTTGAAGCTCGCATCTGCTACAAGACCATGGTGCTTGCCTACGGAGCTGTGAGGGGAACGGCACCTCCGTACCTTCAGGCTCTGATCAGTCCCTACACCCAAACGAGGGCATTGCGTTCATCCACCTCTGGCCTGCTGGCCCCCCTACCTCTGCAGAAGCACAGTTCCCGCTCAGCCCAGTCAAAACTGTTCGCTGCTCTGGCACCCCAATGGTGGAACAAGCTCCCTCACGACGCCAGGACAGCGGAGTCACTCACCACCTTCCGGAGACACTTGAAACCCCACCTCTTTAAGGAATACCTGGGATAGGATAAAGTAATCCTTCTACCCCACCCCCCAAAAAATAAAAAATAAAACATATTGTAAAGTGGTTATCCCACTGGCTATAAGGTGAATGCACCAATTTGTAAGTCGCTCTGGATAAGAGCGTCTGCTAAATGACGTAAATGTAATGTAGATGGCCGGGGCGGGGTGGGTGTGGAGCCAGAGACAGCAGGGGTGCAAACTGTAGAACCCAGTTCCTACATTTGAAGATAAAAATTTATTTTATTGAACAAAACTATGCTACATTTTATCTCTGGGACCCTTAGGATGGCAAATCAGAGCAAGATTACTGAATGTAAGTACATTATTTACCTTCAGAGGTGAATGTATCAAACCAGTTGCCGTGATACGTTTTTTGTTGTTGTGCACTCTCCTCAAACAATATCATGGTATTTTTTCACTGTAATAGCTACTGTAAATTGGACAGTGCAGTTAAGATTAACAATAATTTAAGCTTTCTGCCCATATAAGACATGTCTATATCCTGGAAAGTTTGCTGTTACTTACAACAGTCATGCTAATCACGTTTACTCGTTTACACGTTTATTATTTATTATTATTTACTCAACGTCCCGTATACGGGACACTGATCCCGTACAGGTTAAAGTGACCAGTGATTCCATGTCTATGTACAGTTTTCACAATTCCTGACATTTAATCCTAGTAAAAATTCCCTGTCTTAGGTCAGTTAGGATCACCACTTTATTTTAAGAATGTGAAATGTCAGAATAATAGTAGAGAGAGTGATTTATTTCAGCTTTTATTTATTTCATCACATTCCCAGTGGGTCAGAAGTTTACATTCACTCAATTAGTATTTGGTAGCATGGCCTTTAAATTGTTTAACTTGGGTCAAATGTTTCAGGTAGCCTTCCACAAGCTTCCCACAATAAGTTGGGTGAATTTTGGCCCATTCCTCCTGACAGAGCTGGTGTAACTGAGTCAGGTTTGTAGGCCTCCTTGCTCGCACATGCTTTTTCAGTTCTGCCCACACATTTTCTATAGGATGGAGGTCAGGGCTTTGTGATGGCCACTCCAATACATTGACTTTGTTGTCCTTAAGCCATTTTGACACAACTTTGTAAGTATGCTTGGGGTCATTGTCCATTTGGAAGACCCATTTGCGACCAAGCTTTAACTTCCTGACTGATGTCTTGAGATGTTGCTTCGATATATCCACATCATTTTGCTTCCTCATGATGCCATCTATTTTGTGAAGTGCACCAGTCCCTCCTGCAGCAAAGCACCCCCACAGCATGATGCTGCCACCCCCGTGCTTCACGGTTGGGATGGTGTTCTTTGGCTTGCAAGCCACTCCTTTTTCCTCCAAACATAATGATGGTCATTATGGCCAAACAGTTCTATTTTTGTTTCATCAGACCAGAAGACATTTCTCCAAAAAGTATGATCTTTGTCCCCATGTGTAGTTGCAAACCGTAGTCTGGCTGTTTTATGGCGGTTTTGGAGCAGTGGCTTCTTCCTTGCTGAGCGGTCTTTCAGGTTATGTCGATATAGGATTTGCACTTTTCGCACCAAAGTACGTTCATCTCTAGGAGACAGAACGCGTCTCCTTCCTGAGCGGTACTTCCGACTTCAACTGTATATAGGGCAGCAGCCTCTAAGGTGCAGGGTTGAGTAACCGAGTGATAGCCGGCTAGTGATGGCTAAATGCTGCACGGCCAACGCAGACGTCGGAATGACCATGCAGCCATACTTTAAACTCTGGTTGTAAAACGATGCCACAGGCGCAATTGAAGTAGAGAAAAAAACGTGGTATCAATGCCAAACTGGGATCCCCTCTTTTAAAAGGCCAAAACTGCTTTCAAAAGTGTTTTCCCGCGATTGCATTAAGAATTGTTGTGCATTGACTGCTTGTCAGAACACGTTTCCCTCCTGTCTCTCAGCAATTTGACTGTGCCTCGAGAGGAATATTTATCTCGCATAGAACACTCAACAAGCCAACTAGGTAAATAAGTAAACTGTTCTACTATGGGGTTGGTGATTTGTTTTAATAACATTACATGGCAAAAATTGTAGCACTGGAATGTTACATCCTGAGTGAAACTGTATATCATACACATTCCTTACAACTTTTCATATCATACAAATGGCAGTTTTGACAAAGCAACACTTCCAGAATGGGTTCATACAATTGTTATGAGAAACACTAACTCAGTCTAAAAATTCAATTTTTAGACTGTCAAGGAACTATTGATCAAAACACCAAAACCTATTTTTCACATTAAATGTGTGGCACTAGAACTTTGATCTGTAGCTTTTAGTACATTGTGTTTATATACTACAAGTAAAAGTGCAAAGTAATGTTTTTACCTATTGCTCCCAATAGTGGAGCAGCTATAGCATTACTCATACAAATCAATTAATTAAGAAACTGCAACCAAAACAATTCTGTGGTCCTCTGTAGCTCAGCTGGTAGAGCACGGCGCTTGTAACGCCAAGGTAGTGGGTTCGATCCCCGGGACCACCCATACACAAAAAATGTATGCACGCATGACTGTAAGTTTCTTTGGATAAAAGCGTCTGCTAAATGGCATATTATTATTATTATTATTTAATGTAAATCATCTAGCAAATAACAGACTAATCTAACCAGGAGGCATCTAGGCCTAGAAACTACGGAATGTTGTTGGGCTCTTTGCTTGGAATACACCAGTCGTCTGCCTCATGCATGGTCTTGTAGTGCTTCCAGGCTGACTTGTTGTAGACAGGAAGCCTCTCGATGGACTCCGTGGACAATGCCTGCACAATTGTAGACAAAATAATGGAGGAATGAGTCTTATGAATACTTTTCTATACAATATGCTTTTAACGTCTAATTTGTTGACTTTTTTGTGACTTACCCGGATATATATCACAGCATCGGTGCCATAGCCCTCCAGAGAGTACAGCTTCAAATCACCTTGGAAGTACCTGGCATATAAATCGGGAGATGGGAAGGCCGTACCCATAGCCAGCCTACAACAGAACAAATAAGAGAAAGCTTACAATATTGAAATAAGTATCAATAGTATGTGCTGACTCCTTGTTATAAAGTGAAAGGACTCACCAGAGGACTGCGTTGGCCGTCCATCCTGGGTGGGGGGGCGGTGGAGTAGGTGAACAGCCTCTCAATCTTCCTCAGGGGAACCCCTCCTCCACGATCCCTCACCTGGAAGAGTAAATGACACAGATCAGAAAGAGATGCACTGATAAGCCTCCTTTATGGTATCTCTCTAGCCATTTAAGAGCGGTTAAATGAGAAGCAGCACTGCAGAGTAGTTGTACCTTGACAGTCAGGTCTTCACTCCCCAGGGCAACCTGGGCATGTACAGAAGGATAGTGCATGGAATCTTCATGTGGCTCTCATGGCGTTCTGGAGAGATCAAATCCACATTTAAAAGGTTACATGTTTTAAATCATAAGTAATGAATTGTGAAGTGAAAAAATAAAGGCATACCTTGAAAAGTTAAAATACCATGTGGTAAAGATGGGATTGCACATACACCACAGTTACAGGTTTTCCATAATCTTTTACTTTAGAGACAATTGGAAACTAAGTGATACAACCATTTCTGAAAATACAAGTAAAGGTAGTCTATAATATTATCACAAGTCCACCAAGTTTATAAATATGCTTAAGTCGGTAATGAAATACAAATTTACCATTGAATTCTTCCAGTACCAACTCCGGAGAGTTAATGTAATACCGAACACAAAGTTTTCTTGCATTTTCATATGCATCTGGGGGAAAGGCAAAGTAGTCTGGTTAAGAAAGTAACACAGAATTTTTACTATCAAGCTAGGCCTATTTCAGTTGTTTTAAATTCCAATAGAAGTGCATCACTTACCCCGGACTACCTCAGTAACACTGCATCAATTCTGCCAATCTGTTTAGGATGTGCTGGGTTTACCCTCACTTTCCCACCAAAGAGCAGGGCTAGAATAGAAGACATGCAAAACCGTTACTACTAACTTTTAACAGTTGTTTATATAACAAGTTTGATAGCTCTGCTTTCATAATTTCTCCATTTATTTCAGCCATTATGGCCTCAGGATTTTTGCCTTCAACAAAATGGGCGGCAGGTAGCTTAGTGGGTAAGAGCGTTGTGCCAGTAACCGAAAGGTCGCTGGTTCTAATCCCAGAGCTGACTAGGTGAAAAATCTGTCGATGTGCCCTTGAGCAAGGCACTTAACCCTAATTGCTCCTGTAAGTCGCTCTGGATAAGAGCGTCTGCTAAATGACAAAATATAAATATAAATATATAAAGGTCCCTGGCTGCCCAACCTGATCTCAGAGCATTGCGTATTATTCTGTACGTAAATCTGAAACACTGCATTAGTCTGATATGTTACGTTTTGTATGGTATCTATTCATTTGTGAATGTCCATCACCCATTTCGTAAGATATATCACAAATTACAATTCGTATTACAGTGGGGAGAACAAGTATTTGATACACTGCTGATTTTGCAGGTTTTCCTACTTACAAAGCATGTAGAGGTCTGTAATTTTTTTCATAGGTACACTTCAACTGTGAGAGACGGAATCTAAAACAAAAATCCAGAAAATCACATTGTATGATTTTTAAGTAATTAATTTGCATTTTATTGCATGACATAAGTATTTGATCACCTACCAACCAGTAAGAATTCCGGCTCTCACAGACCTGTTAGTTTTTCTTTAAGAAGCCCTCCTGTTCTCCACTCATTTACTGTATTAACTGCACCTGTTTGAACTCGTTACCTGTATAAAGGACACCTGTCCACACACTCAATCAAACAGACTCCAACCTCTCCACAATGGCCAAGACCAGAGAGCTGTGTAAGGACATCAGGGATAAAATTGTAGACCTGCACAAGGCTGGGATGGGCTACAGGACAATAGGCAAGCAGCTTGGTGAGAAGGCAACAACTGTTGGCGCAATTATTAGAAAATGGAAGAAGTTCAAGATGACGGTCAATCACCCTCGGTCTGGGGCTCCATGCAAGATCTCACCTTGTGGGGCATCAATGATCATGAGGAAGGTGAGGGATCAGCCCAGAACTACATGGCAGGACCTGGTCAATGACCTGAAGAGAGCTGGGACCACAGTCTCAAAGAAAACCATTAGTAACACACTACGCCGTCATGGATTAAAATCCTGCAGCGCACGCAAGGTCCCCCTGCTCAAGCCAGCGCATGTCCAGGCCCGTCTGAAGTTTGCCAATGACCATCTGGATGATCCAGAGGAGGAATGGGAGAAGGTCATGTGGTCTGATGAGACAAAAATAGAACTTTTTGGTCTAAACTCCACTCGCCGTGTTTGGAGGAAGAAGAAGGATGAGTACAACCCCAAGAACACCATCCCAACCGTAAAGCATGGAGGTGGAAACATCATTCTTTGGGGATGCTTTTCTGCAAAGGGGACAGGACGACTGCACCGTATTGAGGGGAGGATGGATGGGGCCATGTATCGCGAGATCTTGGCCAACAACCTCCTTCCCTCAGTAAGAGCATTGAAGATGGGTCGTGGCTGGGTCTTCCAGCATGACAACGATCCGAAACACACAGCCAGGGCAACTAAGGAGTGGCTCCGTAAGAGGCATCTCAAGGTCCTGGAGTGGCCTAGCCAGTCTCCAGACCTGAACCCAATAGAAAATCTTTGGAGGAAGCTGAAAGTCCGTATTGCCCAGCGACAGCCCCAAAACCTGAAGGATCTGGAGAAGGTCTGTATGGAGGAGTGGGCCAAAATCCCTGCTGCAGTGTGTGCAAACCTGGTCAGGAAACGTATGATCTCTGTAATTGCAAACAAAGGTTTCTGTACCAAATATTACGTTCTGCTTTTCTGATGTATCAAATACTTATGTCATGCAATAAAATGCAAATTAATTACTTAAAAATCATACAATGTGATTTTCTGGATTTTTGTTTTAGATTCCGTCTCTCACAGTTGAAGTGTACCTATGATAAAAATTACAGACCTCTACATGCTTTGTAAGTAGGAAAACCTGCAAAATCGGCAGTGTATCAAATACTTGTTCTCCCCACTGTATATGTTACGAATTTGCAAAACATATAGTATGTTACGAATTTACAAAATGTATGAATGTTAAGAATTCTAGCTAGGTGACTAGGTTGCTAATGTTAGCTAGCTGGCTAACGTTAACTGGGTTAGGGGAAGGGTTAGCTAACATGCTAAGTAGTTGCAAAGTAGCAAGTAGTTGAAAAGTTGCTAATTAGCAAAAATGCTAAAGTCGTCTGTGATGAGATTGGAACACGCAACCTTTGGGTTGCTAGACGTTCACGTTATACGCCCACCCATCCACCCTACTTTCGTTTTTGCCTTAAGCAACCATCGGTCTTATGTACCTGTACCAAACGTAACATATCGTACTAATTTGAGTGTCCCGAATTTACATTTACCATGTTACGTCTAGTTTATGAGACCAGGCTGAGCTGCCAGAAACAGGTTCCACTTCAAATCAAATCAAATTTTATTGGTCACATGCGCCGAATACAACAGGTGCAGACATTACAGTGAAATGCTTACTTACAGCCCTTAACCAACAGTGCATTTATTTTTAATAAAAAAGTAAAATAAAACAACAAAAAAGTGTTGAGAAAAAAAGAGCAGAAGTAAAATAAAATAACAGTAGGGAGGCTATATATACAGGGGGTACCGGTGCAGAGTCAATGTGCGGGGGCACCGGCTAGTTGAGATAGTTGAAGTAATATGTACATGCGGGTAGAGTTAAAGTGACTATGCATAAATAATTAACAGAGTAGCAGCAGCGTAAAAAGGATGGGGTGGGGGGGCAGTGCAAATAGTCCCGGTAGCCATGATTAGCTGTTCAGGAGTCTTATGGCTTGGGGGTAGAAGCTGTTGAGAAGTCTTTTGGACCTAGACTTGGCACTCCGGTACCGCTTGCCGTGCGGTAGCAGGGAGAACAGTCTATGACTAGGGTGGCTGGAGTCTTTGACAATTTTGAGGGCCTTCCTCTGACACCGCCTGGTATAGAGGTCCTGGATGGCAGGAAGCTGAACAAAAATATAAATGCAGCAGAATGCTACCTGCCTGAATGCATAGTGCCATCTGTAAAGTTTGGTGGAGGAGGAATAATGGTCTGGGGCTGTTTTTCATGTTTCAGGCTATGCCCCTTAGTTCCAGTGAAGGGAAATCTTAACGCTACAGCATACAATGACATTCTAGACGATTCTGTGCTTCCAACTTTATGGCAACATTTTTGGGAAGGCCCTTTCCTGTTTCAGCATGACAATGCCCCGTGCACAAAGCGAGGTCCATACAGAAATGGTTTGTCGAGATCGGTGTGGAAGAACTTGACTGGCCTGCACAGAGCCCTGACCTCAACCCTATCGAACACCTTTGGGATGAATTGGAACCCCGACTGAGCCAGGCCTAATCGCCCAACATCAGTGGCCGAGCTCACTAATGCTCGTGGATAAATGGAAGCAAGTCCCCGCAGCAATGTTCCAACATCTAGTGGAAAGCCTTCCCAGAAGAGTGGAGGCTGTTATAGCAACAAAGGGGGGACCAACTCCATATTAATTGCCATGATTTTGGAAAGAGATGTTCAATGAGCAGATGTCCACATACTTTTGGTCATGTAGTGTATAACATTCTATTGATTGCAATAATTTAAATAGAAAAACTCTTAAATTTTGAATCCGGCGTCGTTTTGTGTATCAGTTCATAAACGATGTGCCATGGAATCGGTACTTTGAAAATCTCTTCCCAACTATTTTGCAACCTGTATGGCGCAACTATCAATTTTTTGGTCCTTAAATTAAACTGGTATACTTTATCACAATTTTCTTTAACCAATGTTGGTCTTTAATGCAGGACCGATAGACAAGTTCCTTACGTTCTCCCCCTTTCACATGCCTCCTCCATTTCTGTGGTAATGCTGCAACCAGTTGGTTGTAATTTTGGATAGAGCAGACATATCCATATTTTTGTTAACTGCATGTGTGACATAACTCCACCAGTCCAATTTATGATATAATTTACAAAGATTATACCGCTTTAAAAAAAAACATTTTTTTAAAATCAAGTATATTTGAGTTTAACCATAATATTTGTTCTGTCTTTTCTGGTGGATTAAACTGAAATTGCAACCAGCTTTCTATGGCTTGTTTTAAAAATAGCAATATTTTGGAGATTATTTCATTTTCAATGAACCGAAAGTGAGAGGTTGTAATCTGAATAAAGGGAAAAATGACTTTCTTGAACACGGGGTGAGACATTCTTATTAAACTGCTAGAGAACCAGTTTAGATTTAAGTTTAGCTTTTGTATGACTGAAGCCTTTAGTGAGAGGTCCAATGCTTTAATATTTAATATTTTCGGCCCTCCGAATTCATATTCATTATATAAATAGGCCCGTTTAATTGTCTGGCATGCCGTTCCAAATAAAGTGGAACCTTTTTTGCTCATATAATTATTTTTAAACAAGTCGTTAGGTGTAGGCAGGGCCATAAGTAAATAGGTAAACTGGGATATTACTAAAGTTTTAATCAGGGTAATTTTTCCACAAATAGACAGCTATTGTCCTTTTCACGGTAGCAAGATCTTATCTATTTTTGCTGACTTTCTATTAAAATGTATGAATACCGAGCATGTCCACTTCACTGTCAGACCATTTTATTGGTAAACTACACGGTAATGTAAAAGTTAAATTTTTTAGCAATCCAATACGTAATACGGTGCATTTAGCATAATTCGGTTGTAATCCAGAGAGGTTAGAATAGTTATGTAGATCCTCTGAGGCTGTGCAGGGATCCAAATTGATGATTTAAAAGAACATGAATCGTCAGCGTAAAATGAGACCTTTGTTTTTAAGCCCTGGATTTCTAGCCCCTTGATATTATTGTAGGATCAGATTTTAATAGCTAACATTTCGATTGCCATAATAAATAGATATGCCGATAGTGGACAACCTTGTTTTACTCCTCTTGACATACTTTCAGAGAAGTAGCCATTATTTACTATTTTACACCTGGCATTACTACACATAACTTTAACCCATTGTATAAGAGATTCTCCTAAATTAAAATAGTCAAGGCATTTATATATAAATTCCAGTCGTACTTTATCGAAGGCCTTTTCAAAGTCAGCTATGAATACCAGGCCTGGTTTCTCAGATTTTTCAGTGTTCTATTGTTTCCAGTACTTGTCTTATATTATTCTCCAATGTATCATCCATGTAAAAAAACTGTCTGATTAGGATGAATAATATCCGATCAATACCTTTTTAATTCTATGCACTATGCATTTTGCATCACAACACCAAAGTGTAAGGGGCCTCCAGTTTTTAAAATTTATTTACCACCTGGGTCCTGTTTCAGTAATAGTGAAATTTGACCTTCTTGCTGTGTGTCTGATATTATACCATTTTAATAGGAGTGGTTAAAACATGCTAATAACAGACCTCTGAGTACATCAAAAAGGTTTGATATATCTCAACTGGTATGCCATCCAGCCCTGGGGTTTTCCCAGACTTAAAGGCTTCAGTTGCATCAAGAAGTTCTTCCTCTTTTGGCCTTCACATGAGTCTTTCTGTACAGCTGTTAATTCTACATTATGAATAGGAAAATAAATCCTTACAATTAACTTTGGTTAGTGGAGATGGAGGAGACAAACTAAAACATATACTTAAAGTACTTTGCTTCCTCTTTCAAAATATAATTTGGTGAATCATGGGTGACTCCGTCATATGTAACAAGTTTCAGTAAATTATTTTTGGTAGCATTTCTATGTTGAAGATAAAAAAATAATTTGGTGCATTTTTTCCCCATATTCCATCCATTACGCTTTATTTTTATACTGAACAATTTCAAAGATTTTACTGAGTTACAGTTTATATAAGGAAATCAGTCAGTTGAAATAAATTCATTAGGCCCTAATCTATGGATTTCACGACTGGGCAAGGGCACAGCCATGGCTGGGATGCCAATCAGAATGCGTTTTTTCCCCACAAAAGGGCTTTATTATAGACAGAAATACTCCTCAGCACCCCCACAGACGATCCCGCAGGTGAAGAAGCCGGATGTGGAGGTCCTGGGCTGGCGTGTTTACACGTGGTCTGCGGTTGTGAAGCCGGTTGGACGTACTGCCAAATTCTCTAAAATGACGTTGGAGGTGGTTGGTGGTGGACATTCCTGCAGTCAGCATGCCAATTGCACACTCCCTCAAAACTTCAGACATCTGTGGCATTGTGCTGTGTGACAAAACTGCACATTTTATAGTGGCCTTTCATTGTGCACGGCACAACGTGCACCTGTGTAATGATCATGCTGTTTAATCAGCTTCTTGATATGCCACACCTGTCAGATGGATGGATTATCTTGGCAAAGGAGAAATGCTCACTAACAGGGTATGGAATATTTCTGGGATCTTTTATTTCAGCTCATGAAACATGGGACCAACACTTTACATGTTGCGTTTATATTTTTAATCAGTATATAATATATTACACCTCCAGTTCTTTTTGTTTCCCCTCTAACTTATTCTGTGCCTCTATGGTACAGTTTTTATGGCTATCTGTACTGTTAGTCCCTCTATTTCCTTTGCTAATATGAACTCTTTTGACCTAAATTGCTTTTGTTTTAAAGACAAGTATTGAATTGCATGGCCTCTAAAGGCACATTTAAAAGTGTCCCATTCAATAAGGGGACCTCCAACCATCTTTGTGGTACCATTTGAAAGTTGAAATATTTGTTTTTCCTTTTAGTACATCAGCCAAAACATGACACCCACCCTGTATTCAAGAGCATGTTGTCTCAACCGAGGGCAGGCACAACACAAAAACCTCAGATGTAAAATAGGGTCTAAGTTACAACATATGTAAATATGAAAAAAATCAGAGTTAACGCGTTTTTAGATAATTGACGTTTAAGGTTAGAATTTGATATTATAAAATAGTTTGACAATCCTGTTTGTAAGCTTTTAAATGATATCAAACACAACCTTACATTTTTTCCAGTAATGAAGACATGGATGTCTCAAACAAATCAAAATATATTTATATTTGAGATTCTTCAAATAGCCACCCTTTGCCTTGACAGCTTTGCACACTCTTGGCATTCTCTCAACCAGCTTCAGCTGGAATGCTTTTCCAACAGTCTTTAAGGAGTTCCCACATATGCTGAGCACTTGTGGGGTATGCAAAATGGGTCAACTTTGAGCACCTGTTATCTCCTGAATGTTTTGTCATTCAGGTCCAAAAAGTTCCCTATCTGACCATTTCTTCCATGGGCAAACATCTATGGAAAGTTTTGTTTAAATCAATCAGAAATGCTGTCAAAAATGGATTTACTCTGCTATAACAAGTGACATACTCACTGTGCTGGTTAAGCAGCATCCTGTTGGATATTCTGCTCATGTAGAAGCGATCCAGGAAATACTGAACATTCTGGCTGACGATGGGGTCTGTGCCATAGGACTCCTTGTACTCCACAACCCCTTGGGCCATAGTCGGGATGACGTCATTGTGACGGTTTTGGATCTTTACAACAGCATCAGTGAAACTGTGCGAAGACAGAGACAAAGGAATTATGATCCACAGGAGGAATGGGCCTACAATTACAGTGATGTCATCATGAATAACAAAACGTGATCATCATCTTACTCATATGTGACTTTCTCATCATCAGCATCTTTCTCCTTGGACTCGATAATGTCTTGAAGACTTTGCATGTACCTAAAAAAAGATAATTATCCAATACATTGGTGAAGTTTATATATATATATATATATATATATAGGCCTGTTGAACATGCATAACAGAAGATGGGGGTTTGGCCTGGTGGAATCAACCTGATTGCTGCGTTCACCATCCTGTTTTACTGAAGTGAAATAGAATGGTAAAGGCAGCGATCAGGCAGGTTCCACCAGGCTAGATGGAGGTGAGCTAGGCCTAAAATAACAGTACTCACCAGCTCTGGACCAACCGGACTGATGGAGTCTTTAGCAGATTATCTGGTAACAACCTGATCTCCTTCATTATGTTTGCCAACCTCACAGGTATCTCCTGTCTCAGGAAAGTAAACGATGTTTTCTCACATGCATTTTCACCACAACCTGAATGTGGAACAGAACAAACATGACTGATAGGTTAGTTAGATGAAAGATATGAAACAGGCAAAGTAGCTATATACAGTGAGGGAAAAAAGTATTTGATCCCCTGCTGATTTCGTACGTTTGCCCACTGACAAAGACATGATCAGTCTATAATTTTAATGGTAGGTTTATTTGAACAGTGAGAGACAGAATAAACAACAAAAGAATCCAGAAAAACCCATGTCAAAAATGTTATAAATTGATTTGCATTTTAATGAGGGAAATAAGTAATTGACCCCTCTGCAAAACATGACTTAGTACTTGGTGGCAAAACCCTTGTTGGCAATCACAGAGGTCAGACGTTTCTTGTAGTTGGCCACCAGGTTTGCACACATCTCAGGAGGGATTTTGTCCCACTCCTCTTTGCAGATCTTCTCCAAGTCATTAAGGTTTCGAGGCTGACGTTTGGCAACTCGAACCTTCAGCTCCCTCCACAGATTTTCTATGGGATTAAGTCTGGAGACTGGATAGGCCACTCCAGGACCTTTAATGTGCTTCTTCTTGAGCCACTCCTTTGTTGCCTTGGCCGTGTGTTTTGGGTCATTGTCATGCTGGAATACCCATCCACGACCCATTTTCAATGCCCTGGCTGAGGGAAGGAGGTTCTCACCCAAGATTTGACAGTACATGGCCCCGTCCATCGTCCCTTTGATGCAGTGAAGTTGTCCTGTCCCCTTAGCAGAAAAACACCCTCAAAGCATAATGTTTCCACCTCCATGTTTGACGGTGGGGATGGTGTTCTTGGGGTCATAGGCAGCATTCCTCCTCCTCCAAACACGGCGAGTTGAGTTGATGCCAAAGAGCTTGATTTTGGTCTCATCTGACCACAACACTTTCACCCAGTTCTCCTCTGAATCATTCAGATGTTCATTGGCAAACTTCAGACGGGCCTGTATATGTGCTTTATTGAGCAGGGGGACCTTGCGGGCGCTGCAGGATTTCAGTCCTTCACGGCGTAGTTTGTTACCAATTGTTTTCTTGGTGACTATGGTCCCAGCTGCCTTGAGATCATTGACAAGATCCTCCCGTGTAGTTCTGGGCTTTCCTCACCGTTCTCATGATCATTGCAACTCCACAAGGTGAGATCTTGCATGGAGCCCCAGGCCGAGGGAGATTGACAGGTCTTTTGTGTTTCTTCCATTTGAGAATAATCGCACCAACTGTTGTCACCTTCTCACCAAGCTGCTTGGCGATGGTCTTGTAGCCCATTCCAGCCTTGTGTAGGTCTACAATCTTGTCCCTGACATCCTCGGAGAGCTCTTTGGTCTTGGCCATGGTGGAGAGTTTGGAATCTGATTGATTGATTGCTTCTGTGGACAGGTGTCTTTTATACAGGTAACAAACTGAGATTAGGAGCACTCCCTTTAAGGTTGTGCTCCTAATCTCAGCTCGTTACCTGTATAAAAGACACCTGGGAGCCAGAAATCTTTCTGATTGAGAGGGGGTCAAATACTTATTTCCCTCATTAAAATGCAAATACATTTATAACATTTTTGACATGCGTTTTTCTGGATTTTTTGTGTGTTTTTCTGTCTCTCACTGTTCAAATAAACCTACCATTAAAATTATAGACTGGTCATTTCTTTGTCAGTGGGCAAACGTACAAAATCAGCAGGGGATCAAATACTTTTTCCCCTCACTGTATATACATACATATACACAGTACCAGTCAAAGGTTTGGACACACCTACTGATTCAAGGGATTTTTCATTATTTTTACTATTTCTACATTGTAGAATAATAGTGAAGACATCAAAACTATGAAATAACACATATGGAATCATATAGTAACCAAAAAAGTGTTAAACAAATCAAAATATATTTTATATTTCAGATTCTTCAAATAGCCAACCTTAGCCTTGACAGCTTTGCACACTCTTGGCATTCTCTCAACCAGCTTTATGCGGTATATATATATATATATATATTTACATTTTAGTCATTTAGCAGACGCTCTTATCCATGCACTCACTAACTTACAGTTAGTGAGTGCATACATTTTCATACTGGCCCACACACACACACACACACACACATATATATATAGATACACATATAAACATATACACACACACACACACACACACATATATATACATATATACAGTTTCTCACAAAAGTGAGTACACCCATCACATTTTTGTAAATATTTGAGTATATCTTTTCATGTGACAACACTGAAGGAATGACACTTTGCTACAATGTAAAGTAGTGAGTGTACAGCTTGTATAACAGTGCACATTTACTGTCCCCTCAAAATAACACAACACACAGCCATTAATGTCTAAACCGCTGGCAACAAAAGTGAGTACACCCCTAAGTGAAAATGTCCAAATTGAGCCCAAAGTGTCAATATTTTGTGTGGCCACCATCATTTTCCAGCACTGCCTTAACCCTCTTGGGCATGGAGTTCACCAGAGCTTCACAGGTTGCCACTGGAGTCCATGACGACAACACGGAGCTGGTGGATGTTAGAGACCTTGCACTCCCCCACCTTCCGTTTGAGGATGCCCCACAGATGCTCAATAGGGTTTAGGTCCGGAGACATGCTTGGCCAGTCCATCACCTTTACCCTCAGCTTCTTTAGCAAGGCAGTGGTCGTCTTGGAGGTGTGTTTGGGGTCGTTATCATGTTGGAATACTGCCCTGTGGCCCAGTCTCCGAAGGGAGGGGATCATGCTCTGCTTCAGTATGTCACAGTACATGTTGGCATTCATGGTTCCCTCAATGAACTGTAGCTCCCCAGTGCCGGCAGCACTCATGCAGCCCCAGACCATGACACTCCCACCACCATGCTTGACTGTAGGCAAGACACACTTGTCTTTGTACTCCTCACCTGGTTGCCGCCACACACGCTTGACACCATCTGAACCAAATACGTTTATCTTGGTCTCATCAGACCACAGGACATGGTTCCAGTAATCCATGTCCTTAGTCTGCTTGTCTTCAGCAAACTGTTTGCGGGATTTATTGTTCATCATCTTTAGAAGAGGCTTCCTTCTGGGACGACAGCCATGCAGACCAATTTGATGCAGTGTGCGGCGTATGGTCTGAGCACTGACAGGCTGACCCCCCACCCCTTCAACCTCTGCAGCAATGCTGGCAGCACTCATACGTCTATTTCCCAAAGACAACCTCTGGATATAACGCTGAGCACATGCACTCAACTTCTTTGGTCGACCATGGCGAGGCCTGTTCTGAGTGGAACCTGTCCTGTTAAACCGCTGTATGGTCTTGGCCACCATGCTGAAGCTCAGTTTCAGGGTCTTGGCAATCTTCTTATAGCCCAGGCCATCTTTATGTAGAGCAACAATTCTTTTTTTCAGATCCTCAGAGAGTTCTTTGCCATGTTGAACTTCCAGTGACCAGTATGAGGGAGTGTGAGATGGATGACACCAAATTTAACACACCTGCTCCCCATTCACACCTGAGACCTTGTAACACTAACGAGTCACATGACACCGGGGAGGGAAAATGGCTAATTGCGCCCAATTTGGACATTTTCACTTAGGGGTGTACTCACTTTTGTTGCCAGCGGTTTAGACATTAATGGCTGTGTGTTGTGTTATTTTGAGGGGACATCACATTTACACTGTTATACAAGCTACACTGTTACACTCACTACTTTACATTGTAGCAAAGTGTCATTTCTTCAGTGTTGTCACATGAAAAGATATACTCAAATATTTACAAAAATGTGAGGGGTGTACTCACTTTTGTGAGATACTGTACATATTCACACACACATATATATACACACACAAATATATATATATATATATACAGTGAGGGAAAAAAGTATTTGATCCCCTGCTGATTTTGTACGTTTGCGCACTGACAAAGAAATGATCAGTCTATAATTTTAATGGTAGGTTTATTTGAACAGTGAGAGACAGAATAACAACAAAAAAATCCAGAAAAACGCATGTCAAAAATGTTATAAATTGATTTGCATTTTAATGAGGGAAATAAGTATTTGACCCCCTCTCAATCAGAAAGATTTCTGGCTCCCAGGTGTCTTTTATACAGGTAACGAGCTGAGATTAGGAGCACACTCTTAAAGGGAGTGCTCCTAATCTCAGCTTGTTACCCGTATAAAAGACACCTGTCCACAGAAGCAATCAATCAATCAGATTCCAAACTCTCCACCATGGCCAAGACCAAAGAGCTCTCCAAGGATGTCAGGGACAAGATTGTAGGCCTACACAAGGCTGGAATGGGCTACAAGACCATCGCCAAGCAGCTTGGTGAGAAGGTGACAACAGTTGGTGCGATTATTCGCAAATGGAAGAAACACAAAAGAACTGTCAATCTCCCTCGGCCTGGGGCTCCATGCAAGATCTCACCTCGTGGAGTTGCAATGATCATGAGAACGGTGAGGAATCAGCCCAGAACTACACGGGAGGATCTTGTCAATGATCTCAAGGCAGCTGGGACCATAGTCACCAAGAAAACAATTGGTAACACACTACGCCATGCAGGACTGAAATCCCGCAGCGCCCACAAGGTCCCCCTGCTCAAGAAAGCACATATACATGCCCATCTGAAGTTTGCCAATGAACATCTGAATGAACATCTGAATGATTCAGAGGAGAACTGGGTGAAAGTGTTGTGGTCAGATGAGACCAAAATCGAGCTCTTTGGCATCAACTCAACTCGCCGTGTTTGGAGGAGGAGGAATGCTGCCTATGACCCCAAGAACACCATCCCCACCGTCAAACATGGAGGTGGAAACATTATGCTTTGGGGGTGTTTTTCTGCTAAGGGGACAGGACAACTTCACCGCATCAAAGGGACGATGGACAGGGCCATGTACCATCAAATCTTGGGTGAAACCTCCTTTCCTCAGCCAGGGCATTGAAAATGGGTTGTGGATGGGTATTCCAGCATGACATTGACCCAAAACACACGGCCAAGGCAACAAAGGAGTGGCTCAAGAAGAAGCACATTAAGGTCCTGGAGTGGCCTAGCCAGTTTCCAGATCTTAATCCCATAGAAAATCTGTGGAGGGAGCTGAAGGTTCGAGTTGCCAAACGTCAGCCTCGAAACCTTAATGACTTGGAGAAGATCTGCAAAGAGGAGTGGGACAAAATCCCTCCTGAGATGTGTGCAAACCTGGTGGCCAACTACAAGAAACGTCTGACCTCTGTGATTGCCAACAAGGGTTTTGCCACCAAGTACTAAGTAATGTTTTGCAGAGGGTAAAATACTTATTTCCCTCATTAAAATGCAAATCAATTTATAACATTTTTGACATGCGTTTTTCTGGATTTTTTGGTTGTTATTCAGTCTCTCACTGTTCAAATAAACCTACCATTAAAATTATAGACTGATCATGTCTTTGTCAGTGGGCAAACGTACAAAATCAGCAGGGGATCAAATACTTTTTTCCCTCACTGTATATATACACACATTATATATATATATATATATATATATATAAACACTCAGCAAAAAAATAAAAGTCCCTTTTTCAGGACCCTGTCTTTCAAAGATAATTTGTAAAAATCCAAATAACTTCACAGATCTTCATTGTAAAGGGTTTAAACACTGTTTCCCATGCTTGTTCAATGAACCATCAACAATTAATGAACATGCACCTGTGGAACGGTCGTTAAGACACTAACAGCTTACAGACGGTAGGCAATTAAGGTCAAAGTTATGAAAACTTAGGACACTAAAGAGGCCTTTCTACTGACTCTGAAAAACACCAAAAGAAAGATGCCCAGGCTCCCTGCTCATCTGCGTGAACATGCCTTAGGCATGCTGCAAGGAGGCATGAGAACTGCAGATGTGGCCAGGGCAATAAATTGCAATGTGAGATGCCTAAGACAGCGCTACAGGGAGACAGGACAGACAGCTGATCGTCCTCGCAGTGGCAGACCACGTGTAACAACACCTGCACAGGATCGGTACATCCGAACATCACACCCGCGGAACAGGTACAGGATGGTAACAACAACTGCCCGAGTTACACCAGGAATGCACAATCCCTCCATCAGTGCTCAGATTGTCCGCAATAGGCTGAGAGAGGCTGGACTGAGGGCTTGAAGGCCTGTTGTAAGGCAGGTCCTCACCAGACATCACCGGCAACAACGTCACCTATGGGCACAAACCCACCGTCACTGGACCAGACAGGACTGCAAAAAGTGCTCTTCACTGACGAGTCGCGGTTCACTGGTCGGATTCGCGTTTATCGTTGAAGGAATGAGCGTTACACCGAGGCCTGTACTCTGGAGTGGGATCGATTTGGAGGTGGAGGGTCCGTCATGGTCTGGGGCGGTGTGTCACAGCATCATCGGACTGAGCTTGTTGTCATTGCAGGCAATCTCAACACTGTGCGTTACAGGGAAGACATCCTCCTCCCTCATGTGGTTCCCTTCCTGTAGGCTCATCCTGACATGACCCTCCAGCATGACAATGCCACCAGCCATACTGCTCGTTCTGTGCGTGATTTCCTGCAAGACAGGAATGTCAGTGTTCTGCCATGGTCAGCGAAGAGCCCGGATCTCAATCCCATTGAGCACGTCTGGGACCTGTTGGATCGGAGGGTGAGGGCTAGGGCCATTCCCTCCAGAAATGTCCGGGAACTTGCAGGTGCCTTGGTGGAAGAGTGGGGTAACATCTCAAGGCAAGAACTGGCAAATCTGGTGCAGTCCATGAGGATGAGAAGCACTGCAGTACTTAATGCAGCTGGTGGCCACACCAGATACTGACTGTTACTTTGTTCAGGGACACATTATTCAATTTCTGTTAGTCACATGTCTGTGGAACTTGTTTAGTTTATGTCTCAGTTGTTTAATCTTGTTATGTTCATACAAATATTTACACAGGTTAAGTTTGCTGAAATTAAACGCAGTTGACAGTGAGAGGACGTTTATTTTCTTGCTGAGTATATATATATTAGGCCTCCTGTAGCTCAGTTGGTAGAGCATGGCGCTTGCAACTCCAGGGTTGTGGGTTCAATTCCCACGGGGGGCCAGTATAAAAAAAATTATGCACTCACTACTGTAAGTCGCTCTGGATAAGAGTGTCTGCTAAATGACCAACAAAAAATATATATATATATATATATATCTCGAGTGTACAAAACATTATGAAGCCCTGCTCTTTCCATGATAGACTGACCAGGTGAAAACTATGATCCCTTATTAATGTCACCTTAATGTTAAATCCCCTTTAAATCATTGTAGATGAAAAGGAGGAGGCTGGTTAAAGAAGGATTTTAAATCATTGAGACATGGATTGTGTATGTGTGCCATTCAGAGGGTAATTGGCAAGACAAAATATTTAAGTGCCTTTGAACGGGGTATGATAGTAGGTGCCAGGCGCACTGGTTTATGTCAAGAACTGCAACACTGCTTTGTTTTTCACGCTCAACAGTTTCCCATGTGTATCGAGAATGGTACACCACCCAAAGGACATCCTGCCAACTTGACACAACTGTGGGAAGCATTGGAGTCAACATGGGCCAGCGTCCCTATGGAACGCTTTCAAGACCTTGTAGAGTCCATGCCCTGACGAACTGAGGCTGCATGAGGGGGTGCAACTCAATATTAGGAAGGTATTGCTAATGTTTTGTACACTGTGTATAGCCTGCCCTACGTGCCACAATGACGTTAGCAAACAGTTTACTAAAAACATTGAGATTTAAGCCCACTTACCGAAGTCCAATAACTGTTTCATTGAGAGTGGTGAAGGGGAGAATCTGGAGTAGTAATCAATATGCTTTCTCATGGAGGAGGCGTTGCTCATCAAGGCCCTTAGGATCCTCATTTTGACCGATTTAGCTTACATTCACAGTTGATAAACGGACTTGGATCGAAATTATTCAGTTCACGGTGTTGAACAGCTGATTGCCCAATATTGTTGACAGTGCGGAATGTAGCTAGCTTTCATCAGCTAACTAGCTTACCTAGCTTTCATGAAATTATTTTTCAACCATAACGGTCCACAAAGTAAATTACGTTAGTTTACAATATATTGACATAGCTAGCCAGCTACCTTGGTGCAACTTGCAGGCTTATTTAGCTAGCGTGCTGGAGTGGAGAACGTCGTCATTCAAGTCGACTGGAACTGGTTCGTAGCAGTTCCTAGATAAACTAGCCTAAGCGTTCCTAGAAACAGAGTTAGTTTGTTTTAAACATATTTGTACATTTGACTTATCATACTGTCTAAATGAAGCCATATCGCTTCAAGAATCATAAATCGTTTTCTTGCGCTAACTTGCTCGCTTCATGCTAGCAATGAAAACAAACACGAGCTTCCTCATTGGTCCAGGGTCCCTGACTTCTTCTTCTTCTTCAGTGGGGTTTATCGGCGGTTGGCATCCAACATTATGGTGCATTACCGCCTCCTACCGTACTGGAATGTGGGCCAGAGACAGGGAGAAACTAAATCCTACCTCTAACCCCGTTTCTCTTAAAAAATATAAAATATTTGAGACTATATCTAATGACGTTCTGCTCAATATACTCTTTAAACTAATTTCCTGTATCCCCTTCTCGCTCATACTAAATCTCATCCTCTCTCTTTCCCTCTGATACTGTCCACACTGTAGCAATACATGTGCCACAGTCTCTATTTCCTGAAAATAATCACACTTTCCTGATGGATGCTTTCCTATCACGTTTAATGTGTTATTGAACTGGCTGTGTCTCACCCTTAATCTTGTAAAAATAGCCTCCTCTCTTCTGTTCCTTCCTGCCGTCCTCCCCGACTTTCCTCTATACTTGAAATAAATGCTTTCCCTTATTATTTCTATTCCACTGCTCCTGCCATCTCTGCATATATCAGTCTTTTTGCATCTGCCTTACTCATTGACACTTCAACATCAACATCCCCACGGCTCCCGAGTGGCGCAGCGGTCTAAGGAACTGCATCTCAGTGCTTGAGGCGTCACTACAGACCCCCTTGTTCGATTCCAGGCTGTATCACAACCAGCCGTGATTGGGAGTCCCATAGGGCGGCGCACAATTGGCCCAGCGTCGTCCGTGTTTGGCCGGTGTTCTTAACTGACTTGCTTAGTAAAATAAATAAGTGCTTGTTTAGCCTGTTCATCTACTGCCTCGTTCCCCTCCACCCCCACATGGGCTGGAACCCAAGTACATCTTATCACCTCATAAAGCAGGTCTACGTGAGCTAAAGGACTGGAGACTCATTAACACTGCACATGGATCAGAGCAAATAACTATTCTGTCTGGCTTAATTTCCTCCACCCAATGCAAGGCCATCAGCTCCGCCTTATATACAGCCAGATGATCTGTAATACGTTTCCTGACTTCCACCCTGCATTACAAATGCTGACCCAGTACGTCCTGTCCTTGGATCTTTTGAACCATCTGTGTAAATGGCCACAAAATCCTGATACACATTTTCCAGACGTCTCTTAAAGAAATCAACTGGATCAACCCCCTCCCTATATTTCTGTAGTCTCTCCAACACTTCTAGATCATCTCCTGGAGGCGGGAGTAGCCATGGTGGATTTACAGGAATAACTACCGTTGGACTAAACTCCCTTCCATACAGTCCCATCTCCTTCGCCTGGGTATTACCCACCCAACCCAAAGCTCGTGTTCGGTCTTCGCTCATGTTCCCAGCATGCCTGTAAAATCCCTTTTGCAGGATGAGACACCCCATGTCCTTGTAGGTTGACCCAATAATTCATTGCCAGCTGCTGTCTCCTAATCTGCAATGGCATATCCCCCATCTCCACCTGTAATGCAGCCACTGGGGACGTCCGAAACGCCCCACTACATATTCTGAGTCCTTGCCCCTGTATGACATCTAGCCTTTTCAGTGAGGTCCGGCAAGCCGAACCATATCAGGGTCCTTGACTTCACACGTACGTCACTTTAGTAGGCACGTAGAAGTGCCTGTTGTCTTTGAGCCTTAGAGATATTCAGAGACAGGAGGAGATAAGAATCCCATTGGACAATTAACGTTTAACGCCTCACCCAGGAGACTGTCGGCCAATCGCGTTCACGTTGTCATGTTGCGTCACGCGGTTGTTAAGCCTATCGTCACGCAATCCCTTCTCAAAATCAGGGTATGAGTCGAGAAACCTGTCTATTCCTCCCAAGTACCTAATGTCACTATTCCAAAGCTATACGATATTACAGAGAACAAGTGAATTATCTCATATCTCTGAAAATATCTCTCATGTTTTACTTATTGTTTACGAAATTCATGCTAATGTTGGGTTTTTGAGCTAGCGCCCAATTGACTCCCATTCACTCCTTGAAGGAGAGCTCTGACGACGCATGAGCAACCTACACAATGGGCGTTAATACGATACCAATGGATTTTCCCATCTCCTCAAAAGTATCTCTGGCCTAATCGAATATATTTTGGCCATAGATATGTAAAGCAGAAGGAGGAAAAGGAGTGAAATACCGGTACAACTTCCAGCCATTTATTCTCTATTTATTGCAATTTGCAAAGTATTCAAAACATCTGAATTGAGGAATGAATGAACAGCCAGTGATGAGACTTACAGAATTTTCCCCCCACATTTTTATTTAGGTAGGCCTACTAAATGTTTCTCATTGATCACCATTCCACAGAAATATCTATTTGAATAGCTTCCATATAATGAAGTATGATACAGAGGCAATCAGAGAATAATAATATGCCATTTATCAGACGCTTTTATCCAAAGCGACTTACAGTCATGTGTGCATACATTTTTACGTATGGGTGGTCCCGGGGATCGAACCCACTACCCTGACGTTACAAGCGCCATGCTCTACCAGCTGAGCTACAGAGGACCACAGATAAAACATACATTTAGATTTCAATGTAAACAAAACATTCCAGGATTGTCAGGCGTGAACAATAATAGTTTAGGGTGGCACCTCTTATCACAGTGAACGATATTACATTTTTTAAAACCTCCTCTTCTTTTTAATATCCTATTATGTGAGAACAACCAATTTGAAGTGGCCATTTCAAACTCCATCACCTGGACCTGGCCATAACTACAAGTAAACAATGATGCAGATTATTAATCAACAAGATCACAATCTTTCTGAAGTCTACATTTAGGTGTGTATATGGTATGAATATTGTGTCAGGTGTCATCTTAATCTTTAAGACACACACATCCTTAAAATACAATTAGCTAAACAATAATCTGCATTTTATTGCTTGTTGGCTCAAGCTGTCCCAGCTGCATTGCTATTAACTGAAGTATCTCCCAGTACAGGGGGATAAACAAAGGTATGGTGTGAATCATAGTTATAACTCAAACTCATTATATCTAATAGGGTGTATTGAAATTACAGACCTTTTTATAATCAAAACAAGTGCAAAGAATGAGTCCCAATGACAATATTATTCGCATAATACCTGTAGCTACTTTTTAGTCTGTGCAGCCCTAGAAAATCGGCAGTAACATTTGCTCTTACTGAAAAGTAACCTTTAGATGAAAAAGTATTTGGCCAATGCATATGTTTTTTATTTTTATTTTTATTTTTTTATACAGATAATGACCAAAATAAATATACAGTGTGCTAAAATATTTAAATATATACAAACATACAAAATGTTCCAGTCTATACATTGCAGGGATTATACAATAGAGATTGGATAAAACTGAACGCAAAAAAAAAAAAAGACTATCTACAGCGAAACATTGGAGACTGAAATTGTTCATGCAAAAAAAAAAACTGTATCAGTGGCAGATAAAAAATAAATAAAAATGTATTAATTTCCTTTTTCGCACTCTACCCAAATGTAAGATGTGATGCTTCTCATTTCCTCAGATAGGATAGGACACGGTTTTGATCTGAGAATCCTTGGGGAGAATAGAAAAAGTATATTTTGTAGTTTGCTTCACAAATGCAGTCATTGGAGATTAGACTGTACAAAATAAATAACTAAGATCAATGGGTTCGTGACACTGGGATGTTTAGAAAAATGGGAGATTCTTGTCTCTGACAGCATCCCAACAATCAAGTGTCTTATGAGTAGCTCTCGTTCTCATTCCAGCTTGTCATCCACTGTTTTTTCTCAAAGGAATCCACCTTGGCTTTCCCGTCTTTGAACTGACGAGCCTCTTTCCTTATCCGTACAGCATGGTATCTTGGAACGCTGTCATCCTGTTTGGAACGTTTGAAAAATCCACACTGGCAAGAGAAAAGCAAAGATAAATTATTATAAATTAGACTTGTATCAACCTGAACATACAAATACAACAAACACAAATATAATACTCAAGCAAATCAGAGAGGCAATCCAAAGAGTGTTTTGTGTGAGAGCATGCTTCACATGGAAAGAGTAGTATTCAAAATAGCATTTCCAAACAGCCAGGCTGACAAAGCAGAAACCTAGAACAATGAAGAAACTTCAAAGCACACAATAAATAGTGGTTGATAGGTTTGAAAAGTAGGAAAATTTAATAACTGGGGGGTGGGGGTATATTGAATGCTGACCAAATTCAAACACACATACATGAACAAATGTCTGAACACCCTATCAAAGCTCTTTGTACATACTCAAATTGGATAAATTATCAATTATAGTACAAATTGAATTTGTCTATGTATGTGTCTCTTTGACTTTTTGCACTTGAGATGTGCAGAAGTAGCTTCGGAAGTAAGCATTTCCTTTAAAGCAAAAGTGAGTTAGTGTTTGTTAAGCCCACACTCCATGCTGACTGCAATGCCCATTTTACCCCAGGTCTGAGTGCAGAGATCAGGCACTATGCCTCAGTAGTGAGTTTCTCTTTGTCAGAGGCCTGAACATGGATCTGAGCCTTGTGATACGCTGCATCATACTGGTTTTGTGGGGCTCTCTTGAAGAAACCACACTAAAGGAGAGCAAGGGTGATGAATAATTGGGAACAATATGAGAACATAGATATCCTATAATACTACCTGAATGAATAATGATTCACTGTTACATGTGTCTACTAATAGCTCAGAGTACATTACAATGAATATGTCGGTAAATGTGTTGCAGTTGTAGACCATGCCTACCTTCCAGAGTAGAAACACTAGCAATGCCAACATCAGAATACCAGCCAGGACAGCCACAAGGATGATCCACCAGGGAACTCCACCATACTGGGCTACTGCCTTCTCTGGAAACACTGTGACTCTCACCTGCATGGGTACAAGAAGAAACAGTCAGTTTATTTAGATTTGTTACATATAAATTCTTAAACTGTATTGGCCAGTCATTGTGTGAGTGGATGATAATGGATGTCAAGGGTTCTTCAGTGCCACACACCTGAGTCTCAGCATTCCTGAGAACCATATTCTTTGCAGGAGCATCAAGGCTGATGGAAGCTTTCACAATTATATCAAGATAGTTCAAAGATGCATAATTCTGTTTCAAAACAAAGGTTTTCAATGTTACAGAATGACTGAATCAATCTTATCTGCTATTTAGGAATATTTTGAAAAGCAAATAGCAACAGGCATGTTGTTTCTCACCTCAAGGAAAGTAGCATTCCACAGACGGCATCTCAGAGCAATCACTGCACTACTGTCCAAGCCCTGTAGAGGGCACTTGATCACCACACATCTAGCGTCATAGCCATTGCCACACATCTGAGAGGAACATAACCTTTTGTCAGACAACCTGTCATTATTGATCTCTTTTTAAATGCAAGTGAAAGTGTGTTTACCAAAATCCTGTGCTTTTTTTGGTCCAATAACAAAGAGATTTTGTCTCCAGGTTTTTTGCCTCCAACTTCACGCTTTTTCCTAGATGTGCTGGACTCCTAAAAAAACATAATCACAAGTTAGTGTTTCAAACTTGAATTTCTTAATAACGCTTCATCTCTGGCTGATTTTGCTTTTCCACAAATGCATCAAGCACAGTGAAACTTCAGTAGGAGAGTATTACCTGAATGTGTTTGAGAGAGTTGATCTCAGTCTCTGGGGAGCAGGGGATCTCTTCCAGGCCAGTGGTGCTGATCTTAACCAGATATAACAGCCATTTCCCATCCACATTCTCTTTGGGCCACTGGATGTTCAATGAGGCTGTGCCAAAGGACTTCAACGGCTTACCCAAATTGATTATCTGGAGGTATAATATTAACATTTTTAACGTCACGGTCAAACTCAGATCATGTGATATTGAGAAACTCTGTGAGATAAGCAGACAATGATAATTACCTTAAATTCATAATCAATCAAACTGCCGATCTCCTCTTCTGTCTTGATGGCACTCTCTCCTTTCACATCGCCCCCAAAATACACCTGGGAGGGTCTCGCAACTCTGATGATAAACAAACACATATTAGAGGACTACATTGCACACAATAGCTTTCAAATAATCAGATCAAAAAGTATTTCAAATCTAGTTGATGCAGTAATCAAAAAGTGTAAATGATAGAAAAACTTTACTTACCCTGCAACAGAAAGTAACAGCTCAATCACTACTTTAGCCTTTGCTTTCACTCTGCCCATTTTGTCCTGTGTACTGGTCCTGAAAGAAGAGAAGTGACACATAACAGCGTTTGTTCTACAAGGCCACCAAGTCAGTCATCAGTCACGTTTGTGAAAAAACTATAGTGCTACTTACGTTTGAAGCTCAAGGTCAATATCGATTTCTGCGGTATTGAGAGAGATACCAGCAGTGCTCAAGATTATGTAGAAAGTAACCTGGAAACACATTGCATCCAAATATTACATAACATTCACCATGAGTGAGCCACACAATGACAGAATAAGACAAATACTGTAATGAAAACAAGTGCATAGCCTACCTCTGAATCTCTTTTGAATGGATTCCCCAGTTCACACTCTGTTTGGGAGCCATTCTGATTGGCTAAACAGAGAACCGGTTTATCCCTCTGGAGAACAAGAACCTATTACAATGTTATTTCTTGACGGATAGCAAAAATGTGTTTGCTGAAATAAACCCGAGCTACTTCACTTACCGTCGTTTTCTGAGAGCGGAAGCCGGAGTATGAGAGAGCATTGGGGAACATTCCCACCAGCTTAGCCTCATGGGCATCATCCCCATTTCTGTTCTTCACTGTCACCTCCAGAGCTATGTCCTTCTGATCACTGAGGGAGATCACTGGTAGCCCATTCTCCCTGGATAAAAACAAAACCTTATACCTCTTCCTCAGATTCATGGTTTTCTTTTCCAAATCTTATCATTATGAAAGTCACAGAATGTATATGCACTAAGAATGTTTGTTCATACTCACATAGGTAATGGGGGAAATATATCTTGGTTGAGCTCTTTGGAGCAGAATCTGTACTCCAGTTGTAAGCTACTCTGGCAAATATTATCATTTCCACATCCCTCCTTTAAGAAGTTCACCTGTAATGAAGCACAATCAAGCTTATTTTCAATGCATCTGACAGTAAGTCCATTCTAAACTTCACTGAATTCCAATTCCTCTGAGACATTCAATGACATCATGAAACATGTGTAACAGTTGGGAAATTCAAATGGAGATCCTCTCTCAGCTCCGAAGCAGTATGGTTACCTCAGTGACGACCTTGCTTGGCTGGGAGTTGTCAAGAATAGGCACAAGCTGGGGGAGAGCGTTCTGCCTCTTCTGACGCTTGGTACCCTGGATTCCCACTGACACCTCAATGGGAATACCACGCAGCTTGTCCCTAATGTTATCCTACAGAAAGAGAAAACAATTATGATGAGTACACCATCTCTCTTCCCACATTCTAGGTATCATTCTAGAATCTCAAGAGGGTTAGAAGAATACCAAATTCTATACCTGCAGTCTGATTTTCGACTTGGTGCAAGCTCTTTTGTTTTGACCCCGGAGGTCCAGAGTTCCGGTCGACTGGAAGTCCTGGTCGGTGCGAGACTTGTTGAGGAAGAGGACCCTGGAGGGAAGCCCTTGCTTCCTGCGATCTGCCTCAGCCTCAAATGCATAGCGGATAGCTGTAAGGAAACATTCCAGAACAACAGTAAGTATTATGTAAGGACAAAGGGATTCAGGACATTCAGGACTATGACAAATTATGCCAACTGGGCTGAGGTGAAAGAAGAGAGAAGCTTCACTTACTTAGTTTTGGGCTGTAGGATACAGGGTTTGCTTTATAGGTGAAACATGCCTCCACGGTCAAGCTATAGACAGCAAATGGATTATAATTAAATTGTGTTAATAGCAAACAAATCTACAGAAGTATTTTCAAACATGAGTAGTCATCAAATCCCATCAACACCTTACCAGATACTGTTGCCACAGGTTTTCTTTGTGAAGTCAATTTCCTTTGGAGTAATTTTGACATCCTTCTTGACGCTAATAATTGGCCTTGCCCTAAAATAAATAGTTGTCATGTGAGTTGTTACTGTATGTGTTATCTTGAAATGTATTTTTGAGGTCATAACTGGATTGTTATTATTTATTTATTTAGCAGACGCTCTTATCCAGAGCGACTTACAGAAGCAATTAGGGTTAAGTGCCTTGCTCAAGGGCACTTCAACAGATTTCTCACCTAGTCAGCTCAGGGATTTGAACCAGTGACCTTCAATTACTGGCCCAACGCTCTTAACCGCTAGGCTACTCTAATAAGATCATTACCTGTAAACGAGAACTGTATCTGAAAGAGACCCAATGGCTATATCAGGATAGGAATTCTTATCTAAATCCATATTCCCAGCCAGAGAATATCCAAATAATCTGATGTTGTTGGGAATTCCCTCAAGGATCTGAAATGACAAATAAATCAATAAGTAAAAATAGGATGCAGCAGTGATGTCACTCAACTACGTCAACAAGCATACCCTTTGACCAATAAAACACTGCAAAACCAACCTGTGCCGGCTTGGTGTTGATTCCAATAGCAGAACCGTGGTAAATGTACACTTTTCCTGCCCCAGCATCAGCATAGGGCGCTCCAACAGCAATGTCTGTAAAAGAGAAGCCATTTAGCTATGGAATATTATGACACAAGCACAGAAAGGTCAGAAACAAGTACAGATGTCAGGTTCCCACCTTGATAGGAGTCCTGATTGATGTCACCGACGTTCTCCACTGCCAGCCCAAACATTGAGTCTTTGGTTCCATTGAGGCGGATTGGGGTGATCTTGTCCCACTTTCCTGCCTGGTTGATGTAGACATAAACCGCTCCTCCAAAGTCTCCCTCTTTCATGAAGAACTGAGGGGCTCCCACAACAATATCCTGCCACCTGGGATGCAAAAAAGAAACAGCTAATTTGAAACATAAGTTACAATATCCATGTAGGTTTGATGACATAACGCAGGGTTCCCCAATAGGCGGGTGACTTTATATTGAACAAAAATATAAACGCAACATGTAACAATTTCAAAGATTTTACTGAGTTACAGTTCATGAACCCACCCACTTGGGAGCCAGGCTTACCCACTGGGGAGCCAGGCCCAGCCAATCAGAATGAGTTTTTCCCAAAAAAGGGCTTTATTACAGACATAAATACTCCTCAGTTTCATCAGCTGTCCAGGTGGCTGGTCTCAGATGATCCCGCAGGTGAAGAAGCCGGATGTGGAGGTCCTGGGCTGGCGTGGTTACACGTGGTCTGCAGTTATGAGGCCGGTTAGACGTACTACCAAATCCTCTAAAACAGCTTATTGATATGCCACACCTGTCAGGTGGATGAATTATCTTGGCAAAGGGGAAATGCTCACTAACAGGGATGTAAATACATTTGTGCACAAAATTTGAGAGAAATAAGCTTTTTGCGCATATGGAACTTCTGGGATCTTTTATTTTAGCTCATGAAACATGGGACCAACACTTTACATGTTTATATTTGTGTTCAGTATATTTGGCCCCCCAAGTTTTCTGAGCAAAAAAAAAAAGGTTTGGGGGGGGGTATAATTTTCCTAAAATGACTAGGAAATCAGCTCAAAGTGATTTTAATTTAGGAAATCTGTTCCCAAGTATTCACACTATGTGATCGTATCCCAATTAGAGCCCTGCACGGGCATGAATTTTAAGCCCGAGCCCTACCCATGCCCATGCCCACGACGTTCAGGCCCTACCCTACACAGGCCCGATTGTTTCTGCCAAATTTAAGGCCCGGCCCTGCCCGAAACCAGAAATAACTTCCTCCATTAGCAAATCCATTAGCTGCTCCTCTCTGTCTGTCACTCGCTCCCTGCACTCTGCTCACGCTGTATACACTCTGCTCATTGCGGCTCTGGGTCTGTAAGTATCCATTGCAACAGCTCAGCTTAGCTGTTAGCTACTTTTCTTCACTCTAAACTCCGACAAAACTCAAGGAACATTATAATTTTCTGTGAAATCTCTCCTGTCTTATAGTTGACGAGGTTTAAGCACTTCTGACTCCATGTTATGATCTTAGTCAGATATGACTGTACGGCACAGCAGAGCATGAGCAAATGGCTCAGCTTCAAAATGTTAGTGATCAATTTAGTGATACCCGAGCCCTGCCCATACCCTAGTTATTGATGAAAAAACAGGCCCTACATGGCACCAATGTATAATGTCGCGACCCGTCAGGCTCAGGTCAGGTAGCAGAGCTCTAATCCCAATGTAATCAAAAATGTAAATGTAAATGTAATCCAGGTTTGAAATAACTCTGTTTTTGTCAAATACTATATCTGCTTGGGATTCCTGAAGTCAATTTGCAGTGTACAAATTATTTATAACTATGTTCTGGCCTCCTGACCATCTGCTCAAGGAAAAATGGGCCTACGGCTAAATGTAATTGGGGACCCTTGACATAAAATATGGATAAGCCAAAACTGGAAAAGTACAAGTCAACTTGTGTCACATACCCATCTCCATTCAGGTCGACCACAGCTACATCATATCCAAAAGAAGATGCCAGTCCAGGCCCTTCTAGAATGTACTCTGGGGAGAGTCTTGCGGACGCTTCATTCTCTTTTCTCAACAGGACCACAGCCCCACAGTGATTGGCTCGAGGTGCCCCAGACACAATGGTCAGGCCACGCCCCTTGGTGATGCTATGTCCAGAATCAAGGGAAAATCCTGCAACATGAAATAAGAGGAATCAAGGTATATATCTTTTATCTTACACTATGCATAATACAGATCATTCATCTTTCATGAGTAAATGAGTGAATTTGGGATGTAAAGAAAAACACAAGATGTGAAATATAGTAGTCATGTCATCTTGACGCAACCAAGAAAACATATGTTGTTGAAGTCGGAAGTTTACATACACCTTATCCAAATACATTTAAACTCAGTTTTTCCCAATTCCTGACATTTAATCCCTGTTTTAGGTCAGTTAGGATCACCACTTTATTTTAAGAATGTGAAATGTCAGAATAATAGTAGAGAGAATTATTTATTTAAGCTTTTATTTCTTTCATCACATTCCCAGTGGGTCAGAAGTTCACTCAATTAGAAATACACTCAATTAGTATTTGGTAGGATTGCCTTTAAATTGTTTAACTTGGGTCAAATATTTCGGGTAGCCTTCCCATAAGCTTCCCACAATAAGTTGGGTGAATCTTGGCCCATTCCTCCTGACAGAGCTGGTGTAACTGAGTCAGGTTTGTAGGCCTACTTGCTCACACACGCTTTTTCAGTTCTGCCTACACATTTTCTATAGGATTGAGGTCAGGGCTTTGTGATGGCCACTCCAATACCTTGACTTTGTTGTCCTTAAGCCATTTTGCCACAACTTTGGAAGTATGCTTGGGGTCATTGTCCATTTGGAAGACCCATTTGCGACCAAGCTTTAACTTCCTGACTGATGTCTTGAGATGTTGCTTCAATATATCCACATAATTTTCCTTCCTCATGATGCCATCTATTTTGTGAAGTGCACCAGTCCCTCCTGCAGCAAAGCATCCCCACAGCATGATGCTGCCACCCCCGTGCTTCACGGTTGGGATGGTGTTCTCTGGCTTGCAAATAACCCCCTTTTTCCTCCAAACACAACGATGGTCATTATGGCCAAACAGTTCTATTTTTGTTTCATCAGACCAGAGGACATTTCTCCAAAACGTACAATCTTTGTCCCCATGTGCAGTTGCAAACCGTAGTCTGGCTTTTTTATGGCAGTTTTGGAGCAGTGGCTTCTTCCTTGCTGAGTTGCCTTTCAGGTTATGTCGATATAGGACTAGTGTTACTGTGGATATAGATACTTTGTACCTGTTTCCTCCAGCATCTTCACAGGGTCCTTTGCTGTTGTTCTGGGATTGATTTGCACTTTTCGCACCAAAGTACATTCATCTCTAGGAGACACAACGCGTCTCCTTCCTGAACGGTATGACGGCTGTGTGGTCCCATGGTGTTTATACTTGCGTACTATTGTTTGTACAGATGAACGTGGTTCCTTCAGGCATTTGGAAATTGCTCCCAAGGATGAACCAGACTTGTGGAGGTCTACAATTATTTTTCTGAGGTCTTGGCTGATTTCTTTAGATTTTCCCATGATGTCAAGCAAAGAGGCAATGAGTTTGAAGGTAGGCCTTGAAATACATCCACAGGTACACCTCCAATAGACTCAAATGATGTCAATTAGCCTATCAGAAGCTTCTAAAGCCATGACATCATTTTCCAAGCTGTTTAAAGGCACAGTCAACTTAGTGTATGTAAACTTCTGACCCACTGGAATTGTGATACAGTGAATTATAAGTGAAATAATCTGTCTGTAAACAATTGTTGGAAAAATTACTTGTGTCTTGCACAAAGTAGATGACCTAACCGACTTGCCAAAACTATAGTTTGTTAACAAGAAATTTGTGGAGTGGTTGAAAAATTAGTTTTAATGACTCCAACCTAAGTGTATGTAAACTTTCAACTTCAACCGTACGTATCCCAGTAATAACTGCAGTGCATTCAAACATTATGTTGAAATAATGACATGCAAAATATGCAGATTATAAACCATTCACAAGTTAACCACCATGGAGATGGAATGGTTAAGAATGGTTTTAGGCACCTCGGAAGTCACAAACCTAAGAAACTATTGGTCGTCACATCCAAAGTTCTCTCAGGGCTGACCTGTAGAGAAGGCGACTTATACAGAAACCGATCAGGGTTGGCAGCAGACAAACTGGTCATGAACAGGACAGCACAGAAAACACATAGTTCCCGTAATCAAGGTTCAGACCTACTGTACCCACCTAAGTAGCTGTTAGCAGGCACAGGCACCAGGTCAGGATCCAAGCGGTTCTCATCTCCAACTTCATAAGGCCCATCATCATAAAATCCCCTTTCCAACAAAGTATTGTTCTTTTGCTCTACACGTACTATGCCTAGAGTGGTTGAGAGTGAGGGGTGAAGATGTCAATGGAATGGTGCTGGCTTAAATATGACCCTTAACAAAACAATATGAAATCTTCAACAATAATGACACAAGCAAAATGTAACTGGGTTAATTTATTTTTACAGGTGAAAATAAAATTGTATTGAAGGGCAATCCATTTTTGGACTTCTGAATTAATGAAATGTACCCATTAATTCTTGAAGAACACAACTTATAAATGCCTCCTGAGATTAGTTCAACTGTCGTACCCCATCAGAACCCCAAATATAAGCTTGTTTTAGTCCAATGTTTGTAAACAAAGTAAATGTAAACACACACTGTATAGCCTAAAAACATGGTTAAAACTATAATTGTGAAATCATAGACGGTCAGTCCTTGCATCCATATCTGTCTTTGAATTTGAGAGTGGTTACATTTATCCATCCCAATCCCCCGCTTTTTACCGAAACAGTGGTCGGAAGAACGCTTTGTTATTGTTTCAACTGCTGATTGCCGCTTTAAAGCACAGTAAGGAAATGTCTGATGAAGTATGTTGCAAAGCCTTTCTTTACCTCTACAGTCGTGGTCAACATTTTTGAGAATGACACAAATATTAATTTTCACAAAGTCTGCTGCCTCAGTTTTTATGATGGCAATTTGCATATACTCCAGAATGTTATGAAGAGTAATCAGATGAATTGCAATTAATTGCAAAGTCCCTCTTTGCCATGAAAATGAACTTAATCCTAAAAAAACATTTCCACTGCATTTCAGGCCTGCCACAAAAGGACCAGCTGACATCATGTCAGTGATTCTCTCGTTAGGCAAGGATATTGCTGCTAGTAAGATTGCACCTAAATCAACCATTTATTGGATCATCAAGAACTTCAAGGAGAGAGGTTAAATTGTTGTGAAGAAGGCTTCAGAGCGCCCAAGAGAGTCCAGCAAGCGCCAGGACCGTCTCCTAAAGTTGATTCAGCTGCCGGATTGGGCACCACCAGTGCAGAGCTTGCTCAGGAATGGCAGCATGCAGGTGTGAGTGCATCTGCACGCACAGTGAGGCGAAGACTTTTGGAGGATGGCCTGGTGTCAAGAAGGGCAGCAAGGAAGCCACTTATCTCCAGGAAAAACATCAGGGATAGACTGATATTCTGCAAAAGGTACAGGGATTGGACTGCTGAGGACTGGGGCAAAGTCATTTTCTCTGATGAATCCCCTTTCCGATTGTTTGGGGCATCCGGAAAAAAGCTTGTCCGGAGAAGACAAGGTGAGCGCTACCATCAGTCCTGTGTCATGCCAACAGTAAAGCATCCTGAGACCATTAATGTGTGGGGTTGCTTCTCAGCTAAGGGAGTGGGCTCACTCACAATTTTGCCTAAGAACACAGCCATGAATAAAGAATGGTACCAACACATCCTCCGAGAGCAACTTCTCCCAACCATCCAAGAACAGTTTGGTGACGAACAATGCCTTTTCCAGCATGATGGAGCACCTTGCCATAAGGCAAAAGTGATAACTAAGTTGCTCAGGGAACAAAACATCGACATTTTGGGTCCTTGGCCAGGAAACTCCCCAGACCTTAATCCCATTGAGAACTTGTGGTCAATCCTCAAGAGGCGGGTGGACAAACAAAAACCCACAAAAACTCCAAGCATTGATTATGCAAGAATGGGCTGCCATCAGTCAGGATGTGGCCCAGAAGTTAATTGACAGCATGCCAGGGCGGATTGCAGAGGTCTTGAAAAAGAAGGGTCAACACTGCAAATATTGACTCTTTGCATAAACTTAATGTAATTGTCAATAAAAGCCTTTGACACTTATGGAATGCTTGTAATTATACTTCAATATCCCATAGTAACATCTGACAAAAATATTTAAAAACACTGAAGCAGCAAACTTTGTGAAGACCAATACTTGTGTCATTCTCAAAACTTTTGACCACGACTGTAGAGGACAAGTGAGTCACAATATACTGCATGGCTCATTCTGCAGAGATTTAAATATATACTTTGTACATCCACTGATTTTGATACATTGAAGTAAATAGGTTTTGATAACTTACATTTATATTTTACATTGTACATTTTTTGTAATTTAGCAGATGTTCTTATCCAGAGCGACTTACAACAACAACGTAATTGCATACCTTATGAACAGACACTTACCTTTCCAGTTGTAGGCGCCAGGCGCTCCAAACACCATGTAATGGTAGTCCTTGGTGAAAGTGGCAGCCAGACCCTGCTGGCAGGAGCCAAACCTCTCATGGCCTCTGGCTCTGCCCTCACAGAACCTCCAGTTCCCTCCATCTTCATCAGAGGATGTATCAATAGTGAGGTCCTGACTCAGGATGTAGCAGCGTCCTGTGATGTCACGGGACTCCTGAGCAGTGTCCACAAACAGACGTCTCTGATAGCGGTGAGCACAGGTCTGCAATGACAAGACAGTGGAATCAGCATACAAGGCAGATCCTAAGCTAATTATACTGTAGATCTGACACAAAGTTCTGCATGACAGATATACAAAGCACAATGAACCTGGCTAGTAACACAGCCATGCAGAGTATCCTCTGACACTGACTTACCACAATCTTCCCTCCGGGGCCCTGGCTGTTAACTGTCACCCCCATCCACTGGTTCTCCTTGTTCTCAACTCTCACATCCTCTGTGAGAATTCATCAGAAGGAATCAGGATGTTATGTTGATTCTCGCTTTAGAATGAATTTTACTTACAGTATATTGTGGTTAATAAAGCATAATGTTAAACCATATGTTGTGTAGGAGAGAGAAACTGAGAGAAAACCAGATATGAGTAACACCTCACCTTCATTGTCAAAATCGATACGGTCACAGTCATCGGATTCGGTGGTGATGTCACAACTGTACAGGCCACCGGTTATGTTGGCTCTCTGGTTGGCCAGTGCTTTGGCTCTTGGTGCTCCAATCAACAGTCTGTCAAATAAAAAAAATAAAAAAATAAAAAATTAAATGACTGTATCTTTAAGATATTCATGGTCTATAGATGAATGTACTGTGACAATAGCAGATTTCATAGATGTTTGGTAATCCTATACAGCAGCTGTCATATTCAATAATTCATACTGACCATTTTCAGACATGTAATTCAAAGCAGTCAGCTTAGTAACCCAGGACTGGCCTGGATAACAGAGACCATGTCAAACTGGCAAATACAGTACAGTTGTGGTCAAAAGTTTTGAGAATGACACAAATATTAATTTTCACAAAGTCTGCTGCCTCAGTTTTTATGATGGCAATTTGCATATACTCCAGAATGTTATGAAGAGGGATCAGATGAATTGCAATTAATTGCAAAGTCCCTCTTTGCCATGAAAATTAACTTAATCCTAAAAAAACATTTCCACTGCATTTCAGGCCTGCCACAAAAGGACCAGCTGACATCATGTCAGTGATTCTCTTGTTAACACAGGTGAGAGTGTTGACGAGGACAAGGCTGGAGATCACTCTGTCATGCTGATTGAGTTAGAATAACAGACTGGAAGCTTTAAAAGGAGGGTGGTGCTTGAAATCATTGTTCTTCCTCTGTTAACCATGGTTACCTGCAAGGAAACACGTGCCGTCATCATTGCTTTGCACAAAAAGGGCTTCACAGGCAAGGATATTGCTGCTAGTAAGATTGCACCTAAATCAACCATTTATTGGATCATCAAGAACTTCAAGGAGAGAGATTCAATTGTTGTGAAGAAGGCTTCAGGGCACCCAATAAAGTCCAGAAAGCACCAGGACCGTCTCCTAAAGTTGATTCAGCTGCACCACCAGTGCAGAGCTTGCTCAGGAATGGCAGCAGGCAGGTGTGAGTGCATCTGCACGCACAGTGAGGCAAAGACTTTTGGAGGATGGCCTGGTGTCAAGAAGGGCAGCGAGGAAGCCACTTCTCTCGAGGAAAAACATCAGCGACAGACTGATATTCTGCAAAAGGTACAGGGATTGGACTGTTGAGGACTGGGGTAAAGTTATTTTCTCTGATGAATCCCCTTTCCGATTGTTTGGGGCATCCGGAAAAAAGTAAACAGTAAAGCAGGGTCCTTCAATTCCGGTCCTGGAGGGCCGAAACACCTCTGTTTTTCATCCTCTCCTTCTAATCAGGGGCTAATTCAGACCTGGGACACCAGGTGAGTGCAATTAACTACCAGGTAGAAATAAAAAACAGAAGTGTTTCGGCCCTCCAGGACCGGAATTGAAGAACCCTGCAGTAAAGCATCCTGAGACCATTCATGTGTGGGGCTAAGGGAGTGGGCTCACTCACAATTTTGCCTAAGAACACAGCCATGAATAAAGAATGGTACCAACACATCCTTCGAGAGCAACTTCTTCCAACCATCCAAGAACAGTTTGGTGACGAACAATGCCTTTTCCAGCATGATGGAGCACCTTGCCATAAGGCAAAAGTGATAACTAAGTGGCTCGGGGAACAAAACATCAACATTTTGGGTCCATGGCCAGGAAACTCCCCAGACCTTAATCCCATTGAGAACTTGTGGTCAATCCTCAAGAGGCGGGTGGACAAACAAAAACCCACAAATTCTGACAAACTCTAAGCATTGATTATGCAAGAATGGGCTGCCATCAGTCAGGATGTGGCCCAGAAGTTAATTGACAGCATGCCAGGGCGGATTGCAGAGGTCTTGAAAAAGAAGGGTCAACACTGCAAATATTGACTCTTTGCATAAACTTAATGTAATTGTCAATAAAAGCCTATGACACTTATGGAATGTTGTAATTATACTTCAGTATACCATAGTAACATCTGACAAAAATATATAAAAACACTGAAGTAGCAAACTTTGTGATACTTGTGTCATTCTCAAAACTTTTGACCACGACTGTACATGTCCACTACTTAATATTCAAACTGCCAGCAATCATAGTACTGTATCAGAGCCTTCAAGAAATTGTGAACACGCCTTTTGAGATGCACCACAATTAAATACTTTTTTTTGTATTTCATCTGGCTGCCAGTTAACGTCCTCAGAATAATTATTTTGGTGGTAAGAGACTAAAAGAGAACTTCTCGTGATTTGTCTCTGTAGTACAGTAGACTACTGTGCTATACAATGAGTAATAGGGAGAGAAACAGTAGAGTCCATGATCTAATTTGGAGCATATTCAATAATATGATTGTCCTGTACAACATTAGTTCACTGACCACAACATATCCAAATCACCCTGAGTGCCTAAGAGAATCTTTACAACCGCAGGGGGACAATATCCTGCATGAATAAGTTTTAGGGTTGAATAATTTGTAGAGCCATTTATTTATGCCCTATATTTATGCACAATACTTTATAAGAGCTGTGACTGACTGATATTGCAATTAAATATTTCCTGTAATATCTTAGGAGGGCTTTTAGGAATTGGCTGTACTTGGCACTTCACTAAATGAAAAAAACGTTCCTGTTAGGCTACCACTATAAAGGGGAACAAACAGGCAGCTCATTGTTGAACAACCACAGTGAGAGACAAAACTTCAGCAGGACCTCTCTGGGTCATATTTTCCAGCCTGGACAGTGAGTGAAAGCCACAGCCCCATACTAAGGAACACTGAAAACATGACCAGATGCATCACTGAGAATGGCTAACAATATTGCATATTGTGCAGCATGTTTGTTGTGTTACCTAGATGAAGTAGTATTGTAATGCTATTAGGGAAATATATTGGGGAAATAATAGAGTGATCACTGTCCATTCACTACAAGTGCTATGTTTAACCGCTTAGGGAGTTACTGGAAAACTGATACTTATATGGGTAATAGTGGACCACAGTGCAAATCCATTGGAAACGTTGTGGGAATTTTCACAAAGGGGGGCAAGGAATCCTCTCCACCTTCTTCCTCCACTCTGCATGATTCCACAAGCTATTCCGTAAACCCCATATTGATTCCTTGGATAGAGTCATGGACCTCCATTTACCAATCAGGGACTCCCAAGAGGAAGCCTGTTGGGAAAGGGGAAGATCGAAGCCCAAATTATGTCCCCTCCCCTCTATCAACAGCCAGTGAAATGCAAATAAGAGCTCCATCAAAACAAACAATTTCACAGTGCAGCTGAGCTGTCAGTTCAAAGAACAGTTGAAGATAGAATGTAGATAGTTGAGGGCTTCAAAATCACTATTTATTCCAATGTTACTCTTGTAGGTCACACTCTCACTTAAAGCCTGGGGAAACCAACCCCATAGAGCTGCATTAGAGTGGGAAACAACACATAGGGATTTGTATCTGCAAGTAAAGGTTCTTAGCACTGCTCCCCACTGATAGTTGTGAAATTTGACAAGTCACTGAATGGTAACATTGGCATTTGCATACAACACTCCAGCCTTTGTGTACAAAGTCTAGATGACACATGAAAACAAGCTGCTCATTTCTGAAGGAGAAAACATTATTATAATTTTTTACTTATAGATAAGCACCTTATTCCTATTTTATATTGAATACCCAACAGCTTCTGATCTAGACAAACTAATAGGGAACAATTAAGCAATTAGACACAAGCAAGGCTGGACTTTGTTAGCTTAGATAAAAATATAAAAAGTCAAAAGTGCTACTGGTAGTTGAGAACTTTGATGGTCATAGAACTTGCCTGAAGACTCATCCTGAATTTAATTTCGCTGCTCTATCGAATGCTCCATACATCTGTCTGAAGAACCATTGGTCTGAACCCGCTATCATAGAAGTAATTTGTGCCGACGTAAAAATTATGTGATTCATGATTCGTGTAGCCCGGCTCTGGCCCAACGCATCGGTTTCTGGAACCAATCAGAACGGTTTGAATGTGTTCACATTCTAGAAGTCCTCAGGGAGGAAGCAAATCCAGACTCATTGTGGAGAAGAAACGTTAGTGGGCGTGGCGTTTGACCGGAGCGATGTGGATGGGTAGCCAGGCAAAGACGGAACTGCCAACAAGTTACACTTAGGGGAAAGGAGACTCTTTTTAGGCCACATTCTTTTAGGACACATTCTAAAAAATAACATTGCAAATCTACTGCCCTCTGTTCCTCTAAAACAGAAACCCCCAGGTTATAGCATCAAGTTAGCTGAGCTACTAAGTACATGGAGAGCCATCATATTCCTATCCATGTCAAGAAGTATAAAAGACAGTAGGATTGGTTACAGACTAAGGCAGGGGTGTCAAACGTACGGCCCGCGGGCCGGATTAGGCCCGCAAACGGGTTTAATCCGGCCCGCGAGATGATTTTAAAAAAAAAAATAATAATAATACTTTTTTATTTATTTTTTTAAGTATAAAAATGCGCTGCAATTTTTCAATAAAATAAACTGCTGTTCCAATTGCGTCCACTGGATGGCGCAATAGCAATTGTGTTAAGCAAGCAAACTGTTTATACCGGGGCAGAGCAAGTAGGTCAAGCACGTGCAGCCAATGAGCTACTTTGTTTTGCCCGCAATATTTATTACGGCTTCTACTTTTAACATTATGTGCTTTGGCACCCTCATTGCCCCAATATGTCTCTGTCAATAAAGAGAAAAGTGGACGCAGAGTGCAGAGTGTTCCAAGAAAAATGGTCATCCTATTTAATCACGGAATTGAATGGGGAAAGCTGTATGTTTGGTGTGTTCAGAGCATGTTGCAGTGCTGAAAGAATATAACCTTTGTCGCCACTATGTGAGTCTTCATGCCGACAAATATGACAACTTTCAAGGACAGCGGAGATGAGAGAAGGTGAATGAACTGTTGGCGGGTCTGAAGAAACAGCAGTCTGTGTTTACTCACATCCGAGACATCAGTGACGCTGCAGTGAAAGCTAGCTACCTCATTGCTAATGAAATCGCAGTGGCTTCAAAACCATTTAGTGAGGGTGAATTTGTAAAAACATGCATGATGAAGGCAGCGGAGATTGTGTGCCCTGAAAAGCGGCAGGCTTTTGCAAATATCAGCCTGACAAGAAACACAGTTGCAG